GTTCCCTCCCCACCCCAGGACAGGTGGCAGAACCAGGTCTTCAAAGCCTTACGGAAGGCCAGGAGTGTGGGGGCTAATCGCACCTCCGGGGCAGAATATTCCAGAGAGCAGGGGCTACCGCAGAGAAGGCCCGCCTTCTGGGCCCCGCCAGTCGAAGTTCTTTCACTGAGGGGGTCCAAAGCATGCCCTCTCTGTGTGATCGGGTGGGACGGGTTGAAGTCATAGGGGAGAGGCGGTCCCTTAGATAACCTGGAATGCTGTGACAGAGTTCCAATCTGTTCATTGAGTTATAATGCATACAGGGAAACACATATTTGATCATCATACTTGACAGTAACAAATGTAGTTTGAAGATCAGTGTGTAAACATTGGAGGTTATCAAGTTAAACTGTCACTGGGAGAGTTGCTGGCTCTCAATGTCTAATGAGTGTTTCTCAGTTGTTGTAAACGAAAAAAGGATTAGAAAATGTTTTTGAGAACTGTAGAGATTGTTACTAACTATAGGCCATACCAGAGAAACAGCCAGTGTTTTGATGTCTCCATGACACTATCTTAAATATATTATAATATATATTCTTATTTCTGTCCCAGAAAACATGGCTTGCCCTTCTCAAATTCACTGTTATATTTTCCCTGCTCTCTCAATATTGCTTTTTAGTGTCACCACCAATAAATTATATAAACCTGTTCTAAGCTTCTCATTTAATAATGTGCTATAGAGTTTGATAAAATACTAAAGCCACACCTTGGCCATTTTTAATATTTAAGATAATGTCATGGGGACATCAAAACACTGGCTGTTTCTCAGCAAACATTTACCTTTTTCTCCAGAATAGCCCATTTAGTTTGGAACATGATAAAAGAATGCGTTCAAATACAATTGAGTATGTTCATTAAGGAATCATGAGCTGGAAAGTAGCAGATCATTTACCCATTTTTGAAGTGCTTAAAATTAATGTATCTTACATACAGTTGGTATTCATATGGTATGCTTGCTAGGTCCTAGGGAGTGAATGTGTTACATTTCTTTTGTGATGTTGACAGCATGCAAGCTGTGTATGTCTTTTCCGTTCAAGTAACAATTGCAGGCACACTGGGGAAGCATAACAGTTCTTCTGTATCAACAGTTTCCCAGACTTTTGGTATTGCTAGCTCCACGGATTTCAGTTTTAAAACAGAATGATGATGATATGAAGTCATATTTGAAAATGTAGTACGTTTGGTCCTTATATCTGTTTTTCAAACATTTTATTCACACGTTGTCAGTTAACTGAGCAATATCTTAAGAGATATCGGAAATACACCAGCCTGAGCTTCAAGAGTTTGCAGGCTAACCAGTTGCACCTAAGACAATGCTTGCTCTCTATAGGCTGTATAATACCAGCTCTTGCTTATAAGAAGTCATGATCCACACTTATCCTGCTGATGCCCATTTCCTAATTTCTTGTCTTTATTATCGTCACTATCTGATGAATCAAAGTATTGTGTTTTTACATAATACCAAAATCTCTATTAAGACAATGTTGTGCTTGTTTGTTTGTTTGTTTGCTTGTTTTCAACAGTGGGAAAAGGAATTGCAAATCAGGCTTAAGCTAGAAGAAAAACTCCAGGAACTAGAGCTTCAAGAAAAGCGAGGATTGGAAGAGGAGCACTTCAGGCAAATAATGATATGGCGCTTAGAAAAGCTGCACAAGACAACCAAACCATATGAACTTCCCTTTAAGCATGGAGACAAAGAAGTAACAGAAGCAAGCAGCAGCACTCAGCTATCAAATCTACAACTGTCAGAAACATGGAAACCAGCTGTCTAAGAAGATAACTATACCTTAAAGGCAAATATGTGTATTAAAGCATTCCGCCCCCCCCTTTTTTTTTTCTTCTTAGTAAAAGCTCTGCAGTACTGAATGATGAAGTGTGGGTCAGAAAATGCTAAAGCTCTAATTGTTGCTGTATTCCTGGTTGTAGTTGCTTCTCCAACGGTTTTTCATTGTGGTGTTCCACATGTGTGGCTATAAGGATAAAAATACACCAGAAATCTTATGAGGGAAGTCAGACCAGCCTGAGAGGGTTTTTGCATAAGGAAACAGCGGATAAGGAAAAGGTTGGGCACTTCCTCTGCTCAGTAAGACAGCTTCCAGGGGCTATTTTCAATCAAAACAATCACAGCCTTCAATTTCACAACACTGATATGTAATGAGTAATTGAATTGTCTCCCCTGAAATACAGTGTTTACAGGGAATCCTTTTCTGGAATAATAAATTTCTGGAATTTGTGTTTCTGGATTATCTCACACCCTTGTTTTTGTTATTGTTATTGCTTAGCATAGTCAGATATTCTGAACAATATCAAGAAAACTACATGAAAGGTGCTTGGTGCTATCTTCGTCTAATGTCTCTCTGTTGCCTTTAAATCCTCCCTAATCTTAAATTCTCCTTTCATTACTTTTTACCTACACAAATCCTTTCCCTCCTCTCTACTTAGTTGTGCTACCAATCGGGCCATCCTACTTTCCTTTGTTTTTACTTGTGGATGTTTTATGCAATTATTTACCCACATGTGTATGCTGCCTGCTCGTGCAACTCTAGGCATACCCTCCAATGTATAAACCTACTGAAAGCAATACCACATCTTCTGGTATTTCATTTTTAAAGGACTTCATTTTACTCTAAGCACACATTCGAGGTGGTTTTTGAACAAATTATTATCTTGCTCTAAAGCTTCCCACAACTTGTAGCACTGCATTAAAAGTTACTATAGCCGCCACGCAGTATGTGTCATTGTGGGAACGTACTTAGAACAGAACCCTAAAGTACCAGCACATGCATCTGAAAGCACACACAGTTTTTGCACCTTGTTTCTCCTTGAGTGCGCAAGAGAATCGTGTCAATCTCCAGTTTCACTAATTCAGAAACATATGGAGTGGTCTTTGCAGAAGAAGAGCAAGGCAGGGTAGAAGAATCTGCCTCAGCTCCTGAGAAGCATGGGACTGTCCTTGTTTCCCTCAACCAAACTTGGCAGCTTCATGACAGTAAATAGGTGTTAAGAGGCAATCCTGAGTATAACAAAATTAAGACAGGTTACATTTATTAGGTTGCAAAGACATAATGTTCCAGTTCTATGCCAGTATAGAGAGCCAGTTTGGTCTAGTGATTAAGGTACCACCATTAAGGCTAGAAAGCAGGAGACTCTGAGTTCTAGTCCCACCTTAGGCATGAAAGCTGGCTGGGTGACTTTGGGCCAGTCACTCTCTCTCTCAGCCCAACTCACCTCGCAGGGTTGTTGTGGTGGGGAAAATAGGAGGAGGAAGGAGTATTAGGTATGTTCGCCGCCTTGAATGATTTATAAAAAGAATAAAGGCAGGATAAGAAATCTAAAACAACAACAACAAAAATAACAAAAAAGACACACAGTTGTTCCGCTGTGTACATTTCCACTGAACCTACATTGGCATCCCGTCAATGTAGTCCTTTCTATTGGTCCAAAGTATCTTGAATGGGCAGATTTAATATTCCTCTGATTTTATCCATGGGAAAGGTGTATATACTTGTGAATAAGCCGAGAATTTTAGGTGCCAGAATACACCCCCAAAACTGAGTTTGGCTTATCTACGAGTATATATGGTAATATTTTTTAAAAGTACCTGTATATCCCATATATACTCACGGATAAGCCCATCCGTGGATAAGCTGATCCTCGAATTTTTAACCAAAATACCATGAAAAATGGATGATCAGTGGATTACTCATGATAAACCAATTGTGAAAATTAAAACATGCAAAAATTTCGAGGGTCAGCTTATCTGTGAGTGGTACATTTTTCACAGTAGTTTGGCTAAAAATTCGAGGGTTGGCTTATCTGCGGATGGGCTTATCCACGAGTATATACGGTATTTCAAAGCAGCTACTGCATCTCATTCTATAAATGCTCATCCTCACATCCCAGATATATCGCATGAAGTCACTTCGTTAACTGCTTTTAAAGTATATGTCCACATGACATTGCCTTCATCTCATGAATGTAGCTTGCTGTGCAGTCAGCCTAAAGTTATTCCTAGGTTAAGGTGGTGTTTTCCCTTTTTCCTGACATGCCTTCCCTTACTAATAATCCACGATATCTTAGTGATGAGGCTGGTAACAATATGGGCAGGGCAGGGATCTGTCCGGCTCTTACTGGCTACTTAGGTCTGCTGTGGACATTCCCTCTCCATGTCCAGGTACTGAGTGCTGCAAGAGAGACTGGCGTCCTGGCTTGCCCAACTTTTTTTGTTTGGGTTTCGACATGGCAATCGTGTTCTCCTGGAGGAGAGCAGCTTTCCAAATGACCCCTGCACCAAACGAATGCTGATCTTCCAGAAGATCAATACACCTGTGTCAGAAACAAAGTGTGCTGGTTGACAGGGCAGAGAGGGGCATGGGAGGGCTCTGGAAAAGAAAAGAGAGAGAGATCTGTCTCCTTGCCCCCTGACTGAGAGGTCTGTTTTATTTATGCCTCTTTCTTCTTCTTTTTAGGTAGGAATATCAGTCTCCTGCAAAACTGACTTTAAAAAAAGGATGGGGCAGGGGAATGTCTGTTCCAATGGACCATTTTTAAAAATACGTCTACCAATCTCTTAGAAGACCAACATTTTAACTTTTATTATTTTTACATAGTTATTCAATATCCTAGCCTTCTTGCTAGACACTGCCCTTTACAACAATTTTGGCTTGGCTCCAAACAAAACTCGATACATAGCACAAAGTAGGCCTGTCAAGTGGGATATTTTAGGAACCAAAAACCCCACTGGCAGGTGATGGTGGGAGGGAAGGGAAGCTGGGGGATCCATCAGTTGCTGCCCTGAAATGCCCCACATTAAATCTCAGTGCACAATACAGAAGGAATTCTTCTGAAGCCTGGCTTGCTGAAAACAGCTGATACTGTGCTAAATACAAAGGCAAGAAATAATTATTAGAAATTTCACTTTCTGACAATTCTGTGAAATAAATGTATTTATTTATTTTGATTTTTATGGCCCCCATCACACAAACTCAGGGCAGCTAATACAATAATATCAATATAATAAACAAAAAATACAATATAATAAAAACCTAAAAAGAAAACAAAAAAGATGACAATTGAGGATAAATCAAACAACAGCAAATTCATACAGCTTGTGAACTCAGCTACCACCTGATCTCCATGACTGAGAAAACAACCAGGTCTTAAGGGTTTTGTGGAAGGCCAGCAGGTTTAGGGCCAATCTAATCTCAGGTGGAATAGGGCTTTATAAGGTACAACCAACACTTCGAATTGCACTTGGAAGGCTATTGGGAGAAAGTGCAGTTTGCAGAGCAAGGAAACAACATGGGTGCAGAGTTATACCCCAGAATTTCTTGCCTCACTGCATTCTGGACCAACTGCA